AACAAACGCAGGCAGCACACTGGTACCTGGATAAATATATTAGTAAATAAATATATTTCTGAGCACATCAGCATATTCACACATCTCCGTGTGGATCGGACATAAATACACAGTTTGGCATATATATAAAACGTATTTTCCTATTTTTTTTTTGGATTGTTTTTGTGGTGGGGTTTTTTTGGGGTTTTGTTTTTGGTTTTTTTTTTTTTCCTGGGTCATAATTTATTCCCAAGCCCTGAGAGCCAGGACAGACTCAGCAAAAACAACCAAACTAAACAAGAAGCAACAACAACAAAACAAACCGATATTCACATTTCCGAAGGATCTGAAGGATCTGTGTAGGAGGGGGGATGTCCAGCCAGCCCAGTTGTGGATCCCAGCTCAGGGGGTGGGAGCTCCTGGGAAAAAGGGGGTCCCTGGGGAAGGGCTGGGCCTTCGGTTGGGACAGAGGGACCTTGGGATGCTCTGGTTTCCATCAGTTTTCAGCCTTGGATGCAATGAAGGAAAATGAGCTCTGCTTCACTGCTGGGATGCTGGAGGAATTCCATGATGGAGCCCCCGCATACTGAGCACTCAAAAGCATCACCCAGAAGCCAGAGGTACAGGAACTGCAGGGAGCCATTCCCTGTTTTCTCAGATATTGCTTCTTCCCTTCCCGGCAGCCAAGGACAGTCATCCGTCTACCAAAAAGGATCGTAAAACTCACCTTCCCAGAGAGTTCCCCCCTCTCCTCCCACCTGGGCCCCCACCAAGGCAGACCTGCAGCTGAACAAGGCCCACAGAGCAGAGCAACATCCAGCAGGGCCGTTTCTAGATGAAAAGGAGCAGCAGCATAAGGTCAGGAAAGGGAAACACTTGGAAGCAGGCACTGCCCTGGCACCCTGGTAATACTGCAGTGGGGAGTGGAGGGTGCATTAGTGCTCCCAAGAAGCTTGGGGCTTGCTGCAGATTCCCTGTTTAGTTAGGGATAAGGAGGGAAAAGAGAGGAGGACTTTTGACTGCAAAAGAGCCCACTTGTTCCTTTGAGCAGTGAAATGCATCCCTGGAAGCTCTCAGCCTTCTTGACTCCTAAAGAGAACAGTGGGAGCACCCTGACTTCATGGCCCTCCCCTCTGTGAAGTCCTCTGAGCCCTCCAGGATGGTCAAGGACGTGGGGGAGCTGGTTGAGACAAGCCATGGACAAAGTCCACAAGAAGCCAAACTTAGGGCAAATCTGGATCTGCTCCTGGGTATTTTCCTCTAGTCGAAAACTGACTTCCCTGTCAGGAAGGGAGAAAACATCTGAGCTTGTGTCTTCTGCCTGCAAGAAGAGCCTGGAAAGGTTTAAATGTAATTCTGGTGGGTTCTTTGATGAAAGAAATTAGTTTCTTCTCTACACTGAAAGGTCCTGCAGGGGCTCAGTCACAGGAGACAGGGAAGGGAATAGCAAGGGAATAATGAAACAGTGCTATTGGCTGATCACTGACTGTCAGGGGCTGATGAGCAGCTGGGAGAAAGATGCCTTTTTTCCAAGGATTAAGGGCAGCAAACCCCATAAAAAGCTTTCCTCACCACAAACGAAGGCAGAGGCAGAATTATCCTGAACTGGGACTGCATAACCAGTGTGCTCTCCCTCGAGCTGGAGAAGGTGCTGCTGATTCAAAGGAAGACACAGGAGGGTTGCTGAGCACTGAGCACATGGGGAAACCTGTTCCTACCCCAGGTTTCAAACTGTCAGGAGTTACCTTCAGCTCCAGTGTTGTATCCAGCAGTGTTTCCCTGTGCTTGGAAGCACTCGGTGCCATACAAATGTGCACTTCACATGGGAATCTGATTCTTTGGCCTGACTGATCATTTAGGGCAATGAGCTCAACAGGAATTCCCTGCTGTTTGGAAGCTGTTTGGGTCCTAGATGTTTTGAATTTGGCAGGTTTTATTTTACTTGAAGGTCTGCAAATTATGAGACGTAGGAAATAAGAACTAGTGACATCCAAAAAAACCCCCAAAACCTTCCACAAATGGGAGGGGGGGAAAAGTAGTAAACTGGAGCCTGATGATTTCTCAAGTTTTCTCCTTGCATCATCAAAATGTTGGAAAAGACAGAAGGGTATTCTAAAAAATCCCTTCAGAGGATCATTTCAGGTGTCTCAGAAATATGAAGGTAAGGCTGGGCAATGGATGGGGCCCTGCTCTGCATTTGTTATGGAGGCTTCTGCTGGGAATTTTTGCTGTGTCTTGAGGCAGTGAGAGAGGAAGCAGCAGGAACCACGTGAACTCAAGGATTTTCCATGACTCCTGTGACGGGGACACCTCAGGTTTGAAATACGCTCAAAAAATGAGTTGCTCTTAACAGGGCTGGCCATGACACCTAGTTTGAGGGTAGGTGGAGGAGTTAGAGGGTGAGTGAGAGACTTGTTCACATTGCCAGATGAGAGGGTGGATTCTTTGCAATGGAAAGAGTCTGACCCAGCTCCTTCCCAGAAATGCTGACGTTGTCCCTGTGTCTTCACCTCTCCTGCTGCTGCCAAATGCAGGGAATGGCCAAGACGGCGTCAGCTGAGGGGCACTGGAGGGATCAGAAGTGGTGAGAGCTGTTGGTTTCCACTGGAGTCAGAAGCAGCACCTTGCAGGGCAGACCTGTGAGCGGTGAGATGGAGAATAGCTTGTTCCTGTGTCTGAAATAGGCATGGAAAACTTAATTGGAGAAGTCTGGCTTTTGACCTAAGTGAGGAAATGAAGTCAGGAGCTACCAGGCCACAGAAAGTCATTTCTGCAGCTTTTGGTCTCGAAGGCTTGTTTATTTTTGAAGTGTTTAGCAAAACCTTCTGTGGCATGAACATGCCAAAATAGCAGCTTGCACTCCCTCGCTGAGCTCTCCCGCTGGTGCCTCTGCCCAGCCCACGCAGAGGTGCCACAGGGTGACCACGGGCTGCCTGTGCCTTCAGAGAAGGGGGCCTGGAGAGCACAGCTCTGTTTGTGGGACTGTTGCACTGTGGGGACGTGTGAGGAGACCACAAGTGCCCCACTGCTGTTTGCAGTCTGTGTCTGGCGGGGCCGGGCCGGGCATCGCACGGTCCTGTGCAGAGAGCGAGGTGTGAACTCCTCCTGCCGAACATCTGTGTCCACTCCAGCTCCCAGGGAGCAAACAGGCCAGTGTTTCATTAGACTGAGTGTTCATGGACATCCTGGACCTCCTCTTCAGATCCTGCACTCAAAGAAAAGGAGAAAGAAAAGTGTCAGCTACACCTGGCTGAACATTCCCAGGCTCTGCAGCTGCTGGGGCCTTGACCCTGCAAATACGGAGAACAGATGCTGCAGGGAAAGCCACTAA